TCCTGAGCATTCGTTTCGCTTCTTCGCACGATCGGCGTGTATCGAAATGGGGTCCCCTCCCAGTTGATCGCACCCATATATATATCAGTTATATAGATAGGATCAAAGCAGACAATCGATTTATTTCGATTTTTCATATGATGTATTCCTGATATGATTAAATTAATATAAAGTTGATTAGTTTATGATAAAGAATTCATTTTCTTTTTCATCAAGTAGCAACACTATTGATTATATAACATGACGAAGCAAAAAAAAAAAAAATATATATACGACAACAGTCAAAATAGAGGAAGTAATAAATGACTATAATGATATTTCTCACAAATTGAAACAGTTACAGATAGACACTGAAAAAAATATTGTCTTACTATAACTAGAGCATATATTAGTACCTTAGTTCTTCACTCTTTCCTTTGCTTGCTTATCTCTTTTATCTTAAAATTTCAATCAATATTGTTTACTATGCAAATCTTTTATTTTAGTCAGCGTAAGTACAAGTTAAATTTAGAATGGGAAGTCAGAAAACGTTGACTTACAATTTACACTTAGTATTTTCTTTGAAATTATATATGTTTAACAAATAATTAATTTGTTAAACTCAATATCTACATGTGTGAGTAGTACTCTGGCATAAGAATACGATCTATATACGGTGAAATACGACATTACGCAAGATAGGTTACTCCAATATTATGACATTTTGTATAGCGTGTTACGATAAAAATACGGTGTCATATGTTACCAGTAATACAGAGCATAACATAACGATACAATACGGCGCATAAACACTTATTTATGATGATCCGTAACGTTTGACCTGGGTACAAGAGACCCAGATGAAATGAGTACAATCGTAATACTCTGCCTACCAAACGTCAATTTATAGGTATTGACGACCTCAAAGTACATGAAACGACAGTCTACAGTACTATTTTTTGGCTGTCTCATCGACTGTAATTATCGTGCTTGGCATCTTTGTTGAATTTCTTGACAAGTCGTTTTTTTCCATTATTCTGCTTTTGTCACGTAGAAATCTAAAATTTCTATTAATTTTAATTCTATAATGTGTTATTTGTTTTTTGACATATTGTTGTATTCAATCGGCTATCTAATACTATGAACATACTATTTATAGTCACGTTTTTTTGCTTCTTTTTTAACAGTTGGTTGTAGTGTATTGGCTAAACTTTTGAGATCATCACGAATCTAATATATAACAAAAAAAGAATAAAATTTTGTTTTCAAATTCGTTAAAATAGGTTTTTACTTGTGTCATTAATAAACCTTCTAAAAATGCTTTATTATCTTCAAGATTTTTTCGACGAATTTCTTCGACATTACGTACTGGTTCTTCTTTATTTCCATCTTCTTGAGAAAGTTCTTTCTAGAAAATAATAAATCAATTAAGTAAACAAAGTCTCAAATTATATATATTTACTTTTTTTTTTGTTCGACGTTTTGATATAGGTGGTGAAGAATTCTCTTCCGGTTCAGTCTGAATAGAAACATAAATATAACAATAAACTTAGAATTAGAAAAATTTACTTTAATTCTGAATGATCCAGATCGAAGAATACCTGGCATGTTTAATATAAAAATTAATATAAAAAAAAAAAGAATCTAAAATGATAACAAAGGTATTTGAATAATTAACAAAAAATTCCCGCGATCTCGATATGAATGAATTTTTTTAGCATTTGTTGATAAACTTTAACCTGCATTAAAACTCTCTATGCATGTTTCGAAAATTAATTTCGTGCGAGTTAATCTTAGTTTCTCATTACCTCACTCTTTAAGATAAAAATTCGAACATTTCACAAGTTGCAATTAAGACACCCAATCGGTTGAATATAAAAACCGCAATAAAGAATAGATAATTCCTCTGTTATTATTTGTTTAGACTGTAACCAATATCATTCTAATAGAGGTCGTCATATTGCTTATTTTCTTCCATTTCTTTCTTGTATATTTGTTGTACTTTGATCTCCCGCCATAGGCATATTCAATTATATTTTATTTTTTATTTTCAATCATGGCTGCATACAAATTAGTCTTAGGTAAGTTCTTATTTCTTTTGTTAATTGATAAATTATTTTTCTTTCT